CCTCACACACATCCACAAAACTACCTCACACACATCCACAAAACTACCCTCACATACATCCACAGAACTACCCTCACATACATCCACAAAACTACCCTCACACACATCCACAAAACTACCCTCACATACATCCACAGAACTACCCTCACATACATCCACAGAACTACCCTCACACACATCCACAAAACTACCTCACACACATCCACAAAACTACCCTCACATACATCCACAGAACTACCCTCACACACATCCACAAAACTACCCTCACATACATCCACAAAACTACCTCACACACATCCACAAAACTACCCTCACACACATCCACAAAACTACCCTCACACACATCCACAAAACTACCCTCACACACATCCACAAAACTACCTCACACACATCCACAAAACTACCCTCACACACATCCACAAAACTACCCTCACACACATCCACAAAACTACCCTCACATACATCCACAGAACTACCCTCACACACATCCACAAAACTACCCTCACATACATCCACAAAACTACCTCACACACATCCACAAAACTACCCTCACATACATCCACAAAACTACCCTCACATACATCCACAAAACTACCTCACACACATCCACAAAACTACCCTCACATACATCCACAAAACTACCCTCACACACATCCACAAAACTACCTCACACACATCCACAAAACTACCCTCACATACATCCACAGAACTACCCTCACACACATCCACAAAACTACCCTCACATACATCCACAAAACTACCTCACACACATCCACAAAACTACCCTCACATACATTCACAGAACATCCCTCACACATATCCACAAAACTACCCTCACACATCCACAAAACTACCCTCACATACATCCACAAAACTACCCTCACATACATCCACAAAACTACCCTCACATACATCCACAAAACTACCCTCACATACATCCACAAAACTACCCTCACATACATCCACAAAACTACCTCACACACATCCACAAAACTACCCTCACATACATCCACAAAACTACCCTCACATACATCCACAGAACTACCTCACACACATCCACAAAACTACCCTCACATACATCCACAAAACTACCCTCACATACATTCACAGAACATCCCTCACACATATCCACAAAACTACCCTCACACATCCACAGAACTACCCTCACATACATCCACAAAACTACCCTCACATACATCCACAAAACTACCCTCACATACATCCACAAAACTACCCTCACATACATCCACAGAACTACCTCACACACATCCACAAAACTACCCTCACATACATCCACAAAACTACCCTCACATACATTCACAGAACATCCCTCACACATATCCACAAAACTACCCTCACACATCCACAGAACTACCCTCACATACATCCACAAAACTACCCTCACATACATCCACAAAACTACCCTCACATACATCCACAAAACTACCCTCACATACATCCACAAAACTACCCTCACATACATCCACAAAACTACCTCACACACATCCACAAAACTACCCTCACATACATCCACAAAACTACCCTCACATACATCCACAGAACTACCTCACACACATCCACAAAACTACCTCACACACATCCACAGAACTACCTCACACACATCCACAAAACTACCTCACACACATCCACAGAACTACCTCACACACATCCACAAAACTACCCTCACATACATCCACAGAACTACCCTCACATACATCCACAGAACTACCCTCACACACATCCACAAAACTACCCTCACATACATCCACAGAACTACCCTCACATACATCCACAAAACTACCCTCACACACATCCACAAAACTACCCTCACATACATCCACAGAACTACCCTCACATACATCCACAGAACTACCCTCACACACATCCACAAAACTACCTCACACACATCCACAAAACTACCCTCACATACATCCACAGAACTACCCTCACACACATCCACAAAACTACCCTCACATACATCCACAAAACTACCTCACACACATCCACAAAACTACCCTCACACACATCCACAAAACTACCCTCACACACATCCACAAAACTACCTCACACACATCCACAAAACTACCCTCACACACATCCACAAAACTACCCTCACACACATCCACAAAACTACCCTCACATACATCCACAGAACTACCCTCACACACATCCACAAAACTACCCTCACATACATCCACAAAACTACCTCACACACATCCACAAAACTACCCTCACATACATCCACAAAACTACCCTCACATACATCCACAAAACTACCTCACACACATCCACAAAACTACCCTCACATACATCCACAAAACTACCCTCACACACATCCACAAAACTACCTCACACACATCCACAAAACTACCCTCACATACATCCACAGAACTACCCTCACACACATCCACAAAACTACCCTCACATACATCCACAAAACTACCTCACATACATCCACAAAACTACCCTCACATACATCCACAAAACTACCCTCACACACATCCACAGAACTACCCTCACATACATCCACAGAACTACCCTCACACACATCCACAAAACTACCCTCACATACATCCACAAAACTACCCTCACATACATCCACAAAACTACCCTCACATACATCCACAGAACTACCCTCACACACATCCACAAAACTACCCTCACATACATCCACAAAACTACCCTCACATACATCCACAAAACTACCCTCACACACATCCACAAAACTACCTCACACACATCCACAAAACTACCCTCACATACATCCACAAAACTACCCTCACATACATTCACAGAACATCCCTCACACATATCCACAGAAATACCCTCACATCAATCAAATCTAACTGAAGTTCTCAACATACATCGAACAAAACTACATAAAATTACGCAGAACACATCCAGCCAACTCTTCCCCAACCCAACCATTCTGCCCTGACACATACAATTCCTCCCATCCCATTGCTCCCCCTGCAACCATCCTCCCACACAGTTCTCCGACATGTCCTAGCTCCCGCTCCCTGTTCAGCAGAGGGAACTGACCATCAGTATTTCAAGAGTTGTTTCCCTTCTCCACTACCTCCTACTGCCTCAACAACACATCGTTTAGTTAATCATGCTAATATTGCTCCGTTCCGGACAAAATATTGAACAATTTGTTTTCTTATAAAGCCAAGACAAGAAAAAAAAAAAGAGTCAAATGAAAGCAATGTAAGAAGAATCAAGTCTCTTTGAAGATATAATTCAATTGCAGCTACAGGCACTGAAGACTACATGTTGTTCAATGGTAGAAAAGCTCCTGGGGCGACAATCCTATTTTTTTACGATTACACCTGAATGTCAAAGTGTTAAAAATCGACACAAGTTAAGTTAATTCGGCTATTATCAGACAACATCAAACTCAAAAGGAAATGAAAAGAGTTTTGGAAGTGCTTCAAGCGGCCTTTATGTTATTAAAGCATCCATGTTGACAAACACAGGGGGCGAAAATAACAAAGTGAATGAACGTAGTTTTCAGTTTTTAGCTGTACCCTTACAGGTACGATGACAGATGCGCAATCAGACCACACATAGATCTAAGTTTCATGACAACCATTAATGGGGATGTACTCAGGTATGATGACAGATGCGCAGTCAGACCACACATAGATCTACGTTTCATGACAACAATTAACAGGGATGTACTCAGGTACGATGACAGATGCGCAGTCAGACCACACATAGATCTACGTTTCATGACAACCATTAACAGGGATGTACTCAGGTACGATGACAGATGCGCAGTCAGACCACACATAGATCTAAGTTTCATGACAACCATTAATGGGGATGTACTCAGGTACGATGACAGATGCGCAGTCAGACAGCACATAGATCTACGTTTCATGACAACCATTAACAGGGATGTACTCAGGTACGATGACAGATGTGCAGTCAGACAGCACATAGATCTACGTTTCATGACAACCATTAATGGGGATGTACTCAGGTACGATGACAGATGTGCAGTCAGACAGCACATAGATCTACATTTCATGACAACCATTAACGGGGATGTACTCAGGTACGATGACAGATGCGCAGTCAGACCACACATAGATCTACGTTTCATGACAACCATTAACGGGGATGTACTCAGCCTTCACAAAAGAATGAACCACTTTGAGAAGGGTGTTAAATGAAATAGAAGGGGTTATGGGGAACAGATGGGGGTGCATGGAATAGAAGAGGTGTGTGAACAAACGTGTGTGAAACAGAGGTAGGTATAAGGAACAGAATGGGTTATCATGAGAAACAGGAAGGTATGAGGAACAGAAGGGTGGGTTGGGAACAGAAGACGTTATGAGAAACAGAAGGGATTATGAGGAACAGAAGGGATTATGAGGAACAGGAAGGTATGAGGAACAGGAGGGGCTATGAGAAACAGGAAGGTATGAGGAACAGAAGGGGGTATGAGAAACAGGAAGGTATGAGGAACAGAAGGGATTATGAGGAACAGGAAGGTATGAGGAACAGAAGGGGTTATGAGGAACAGGAAGGTATGAGGAACAGAAGGGGTTATGAGAAACAGGAAGGTATGAGGAACATAAGGGATATCATGAGGAACATGGGGTTATGGTTATGGAGAAGAGCAGTGTTTGAGAGCAATAAATGAATATGTTATTACACAGATTTTAGCATTTTCCATAAACAAACTGGCCCCACACATTGCACCCACTAGGGAATCAAACCAGGACCTTCCAGTTAATGCTTTAAAACAAGGCTATCTCACACAAACAGATGTTTGGGGTTGTGTGGGGAAACTGGGGGAGGGGGTGGGGAGGAGGAAGGAGTAGAGAAGAGGGATGGAGATGTGGATTTTTTGTGCATGTGTGTCATCACTGTGATAAATAATTCCTCCATCTACATCGTAAACCAAATAATGAGTTGGGTATTTAAAAACGTGTCAAAATCAAACTGTAAAGAGAGAATTTAGGGATTGGATTTAATGTCAAACTTACAGCCACGTGAAGAAGTTTTCTGATGGCCTGGTTGTTTCCCGATCCACAGTATGCCATGGCAATAGTGTTCATCCCTGACCAGCGCAGGATGGGGTCCTTGTCCCGCGTGAGACTCTCGATCAGGGCGTCGGCCTCCTCCAGACGCCCATACATGGTCAGGGAGATTCCTACAGCCAGACCTCGCAGGATCTTTTCATGCTGAGTTTCCTGGGCATACTGGAAGAAAGGCTTCAGTGTAAAGGATAGCAAAATTCAAAACATTATGATAACTGTCTTCTTTATTTACTTACTGATCCATAGTTGATAAAGCCACTCCCTTTTACATGACTATGGAAATTCATGATATTACATGAAAATGGATACTTATCCTGACACAACAGGATTGCAATTTTCTTCTTCACTTCAATCATAAAACACAGGACACAAAATGTGCCTCCTCTACATCGGGGTCACCCCTTGCCCTGGGTTACCAATCAGGAGTTATCTGTCCTTGATCCCACGCTACCTTCTCATTGCACACATGTGCTTGCTTTTCTGAAATTTCTATTCTTTTTAACATCGATCATATTCTATGTTCTTGATCAATGAAACTTCGCAGGTACCTTCCTAGGATTTTACTACATTATATTCTGTGGCAAATTTTCAATTTGTTATGTAATTATTGTATTGCGTTACACGTGTCGGTGATGGCAAGATTTTCCTGCCAAAATCTCTGCACAGTTATCGTGCAGTTTCATCACAATTGCAGTGTAATGACTTGTTTCATCCATTGTGTGATGTTTATACAAGCTTTTATTATATTCAGCGATGTGAGCAGGTTTTCCCCCCCAAAAAAGGAAAAATCTAGGGGGGGATGATGCTAAAAGCTCTGATGGAAAACAGGACAAGCCACGACGGTTGTCCGTTTTGTTCTAAAAAAATTCTGAGTGTTTTTTTTTTAAATCCGCGGAGATTTCACATCCCTGTATGCTATATATTTTACAACATGGCACTGGCAGATACGTCTTTAGTTTTTCAAGAAAATGACACGAGGACATGTCTACCATGCAACCATTTGCTTTTGGTATCATTTGAGCAAGTCAAGGGATCCCAGAGTGACCGTCAGATTTGCAAGGAATCTGATGGCAGCTTAGATTCCTGATGTGCGAGGTGTATCTGTTGTGGTTTTCATACCTGATGTCAGTTACAAGTCTGGGCTGCTGGGGACCTATTCTGACCCAGAACCACCCCTGAGAACAACAACACTTAACCTTATGTGTCCTTATCTTGAGGACATCACTAAAGACAATTCCATCAATTTGTGACTACTTACAGCGACCATGTCCTCGATGGCTGTGGCCGACTTTGTTCCCAACATCACCAGACCCATAGCCAAGCCAGCTGCTTCTCCTGGGAAATAAGAGTATCACACTGATAAACATGTACATACCAAAATAAGTAACTCGTATATGAATCTCAGCTCAAACTGACCTTTGCAAGCAAAATAGCAACTAAATCATTCATACTAACCTGTGACAGCATCATCCTGGTACAAATTGAATTTCAGCTGTTCATATATGTCTGAAACAAAAGAAAACAACTGAGGTAACCATCAATGTTTACCAGGCTGAACATCGGATGATTCAATCGCAGTTTGTCAAGTTGAATCAAGTATGAGAAACATTTACAAACGTTATTCAAACAAAAACGAGAGCCAAACTAAAACATGTTCTGTAGGTTTCAGATAATCAAACAGTTGTTTGAGACCTCTTGTATAGAAATAATATATAACTATTCATTTTCATACCGTTTTTTGTGTCTCCCTCATCCATAACTACATCATTTCGTATAGATAAATCACCAAATCAGTGTTTGAAATAATTTTGAAACCCAACAAGACAGTCGAGCAGGTGACCCATAAATGTTACCTGCCCATCTTCAAAGCTACCTGCAGCATTCAGACATTATGAATATTGAAAAATCGTAAAAAATATGAGACAAATCCCATCTTGATTCAGTGGAAATAATTCACACAAGTACTTGAGAATCTATGAGTAGTTATAAAACTGAATACATAAGATGCCTTAAAATCATCTGCCAGACAGTCGGGCAGGTGGAGGGAAATGTCATGCAGCCCGTCTTAAAAGTTACCAGCCACGGGCAGGGGGCAGGCGGGCAGGCGGGCAGGAAGTTATTTCAGACTCTGCACCTAATGATACAATATTTGTATCTTGACTAAAAGTATTGCGATGTTGGCTGTATCATTACACCCCTAGCTAAAGATTATCTCGCTACATTTCAGAGGCTGATGCAGGACTGTGGAAAGTGGGGTGCACATAAGCCCTAGTCACAAAGTGATGAAGTGGCTGAGTGAGTGAGTGAGTGAATATGGTTTTACGCCGCTTTTAGCAATATTCCAGCAATATCACGGCGGGGGACACCAGAAATGGGCTTCACACATTGTACCCATGTCGGGAATCGAATCCGGGTCTTCGGCGTGACGAGCGAACGCTTTAACCACTAGGCTACCCGACCGGATGAAGTGGCTGAAGGCACAGTTAACATGGAAGACATGTGTGTGGATCTGCCAGTCAGCTACCTACCTTGTCTGGCTGTTCCCATGGCTGCAAGACCCACACCTAAACACCCTCCATGACGGACCATCTGAAAACACAACCATCCTTCATGATCCTGACAGTGTTGAGACAATGGCAAGTATTGGTGATAGAAACAGAAGAGACGAAGGTAGGTACTACATCTAACATGCCAGTCCAAATCATCGTGAGCCTGTAAGTAGGTGGGTCCAGGTGATACAGTGACAGAAAACATGAGTACTTATCAATGCCGTCAGAGGTGAGGTGAGCTGAAAATGGGTTTAACATCGCGTCCAAGATTATTGCACTTCTATAGCCACGTGCATGCACGTGTGTGTGGGGGGGACTGCGTGTACTAGTCCAGACTAATGCCTATTTATGGTGCTAGCTCACTGAGACACCATGCTGCAGTTTAACATTAATACCCCATTCAGACACAGTATACTGACGCCGAGTCGACCAGTCCATGTTTTAGCCCCTATATGCCGTGAGCCAGACAGGGTAACAAGAAGTGCCATATTTTAACATCTTTTGGTATGACACGGGCAGGGATCAAACCCTAGACCTTTGGCTCCAGACGGATGCTCCACCACAAGACCACGGAGGCGATCCAATGCCATCAGAGCATGATGACATGCAGTGAGGCAAGTCACAGAGTCTGACATCAAGATCAAATTCACAAGAGTGAGAGTGATTCCATAAAAGGGGTTTACTGCCATAGTCACTAGAAGCAGAGCTATACCTTGGCAACCCAGCCCCACCTGGACCAGGCAATCAGTGGTGGACGGTAGGAGCAACAATCCTGGCTACACACAACAGTCTGATACAAGCTGACATTTATTCCCCTCAGCAATTGTGCCCTGCAAATTCCCAGTTTAGTGACCCCTAATAAGTACTTAGGTTGAAAATACAGAAACACCAGGAATTCCTTGTCTGAGTGTGAGTGAGTTGGGTTTAACGCCGCTTTTAACAGTATTCCAGTTATATCGCGGAGTGTCAGCTCAATGTCGGAGGAAAGCCCGAAGCGATGCAGGTCTCAGACGTTTACCACTTCGGTGAAACCCACGAGCACGGGTATGGTGCTGACAAACCTAGAAACATAATTGGGGCGAACCGGGATTCGAACCCACAATCATAGGTTTCTGGCGTGCCCAAGGGACGCAACTCTGCACTGCGAATCGCGGCACCTTAGACGACTGGGCCACCCATGCCCCCATTCCTTGTCTGAATACTGAGAAGAGACTCCTAGTACACCTTGCTTGTACTAACAGACAACTAATGGGGATCTGGTGTTGACACCTGGTGTTCCACCTGGTGGGTTGTGGATATTGTAACAATCAATCAACATCCAAGATTTGTTTATTTGTCTGTTGTTGAAGCCGCACTAAGCAATTTTCCAGCTATGAGGGCGGTCTGTAAATAATCGAGTCTAGACCATACAATCCAGTGAATGATATCATGTGCATCGATCCATGCAATTGGCATATGATGACATGCATCAATCAAGTCTGTGTGCCTGACCCCCGATCCCATAAGTCACCTCTTACGACAAACATGGGTTGCTAAAGACCTATTCTAACCTAGCCCTTCTCGGGTTGATTGTACTTACATCTGTAGAAGCTTCTTTCAACTGGTTGAGAAGGTAGTCTGTTATTTCCCCTCCATGGTTGGCATGTATAAGGCCTGGAGGCAGAATTCAAGCGTATGTTAGAGACCGTACCAGTTCATCAATCAGTTCAAACAGTACTAAACTAAAGAAAAGACAATTGCTATTCTAGTCTAGGACTGGGACGAGTCCAAATTTACTACCCTGGTACCCACTGTGGGTCTCAAGAGTTGGGAACACAATGTATAACTGGGAATAGTTTAACTGTAGTCCTGGCAAAAACTGTTTAGATACATGTATGAAACCAGAGACCATATAATAGGTATACAGTCTCTTATGAAACGATCAAATCCTGCGTACACTGAAGATGACTGAAGCTTTATCATTACTCAAACATATACAAGTCAAAAGGAATGTGTGCATCATCATAAGGAATGGGAACATTAGCGACTTGTAGTGTAACCACTGAGCTCTAGTGAGTTTTTGTCATTAAACAATATGTCACGTGACTAACCACGGGTCCGGTTAGTCCTGTGGGTACCCGGGTCTGACTCAGGACCCACCTGACCCGAGTACCAAAGTACCCGGGTTACCCGTCCCAGCCCTATTCTAGTCATATTAAATTTAAGACAAAACAGACATCCAACATATTCAGCACATATACAAATGTATTTTGTAGGGTAAAAATATCATTCATACTTCTCCTGATTGATACTAATTGCTTATATCATCTCATTTCCGAAAGGTAGAAACTTCCTGTGCTGTGTTCCCGGACAACAGAGAAAACATCTCACCCAAACACACCCCTGATCCAGCAGGCGCACCAGAGCCAAGTGAGCAAGACAGGTAACTCGTCACTTTTTTTCCTCCTACCTAACAGTCCGAAAACACATCAGTGGAGAGAGGGGATGGCTGGGAGGGTTCTCTAGCGTATGAGTCAGGATAAGCATCAATAATATTTTTACCCTAAAAAATACATATTTTACCTTAACCTGACTGACACAAATTGCTTGAATCTGACAGAAGGTGGTGGGTTCCACCTGTATGTGTGATATTTGTGACCTGTCCTATAACCCCATGGGAACATGATTGATAATCTGCATTGATTTTCGCCTTCTATTTGTGAAAAAGAGAAGTAAATCTGTGTGGGATTTTAAGGTATACATGGCTACAGAAAACTTGATTACCTTAAACGATTAAAGTGTTGAGAGCAGGGCAATAAACTTAACATAATTGTTATCACTCATGTTCTGAATTATAATGTCTCAGTCGTTGGTTGTGGAACAGAAACCTGACGTCCACAAGTCTACGAGATTGCAGGTGAGTGTAATCTTTATTCATCTTCTTGAAGGAACCATGAGTTGTTGTGCACTTTCTAGAGGTCCAAACTGATGAATGCCAGATAGCTCTGAGATACGTATTTGCCCTCCAGAAGCATCCTTCCATGATCGTCGGGACAGAGCAGTTACCATGGAGAGCTAAGGTAGAGGCTATGTCTGCTCAGTATGCTCTAAGAACAACTGCTCTCATCCAGAAGGAAATGGTTGTTGTGGAGACTTCTGAAGAAGCATTCCTTAAAAAGGGAATGAAAATTGGATTGTGTCCTGAATGTCCTCTGCTCCAACGGTGGAGGAGAATGCTGGGACATGGCATTGTCTGTCAGGTTGACCAGGCAATTGGTTTCTCGAGATGAAGTCCCATGTCAAGCCAAGATGGGCTGATGCATGAATACCGCCGTCAAATCTAGTGCAGCTATATTCAATCAGATGTATCTCACACATTCTGGCTGCCGTGGCTAGTGCCAGAAGACAAAGGGTCTTTTGAGTTAAATGTTCCAAACCAGCTTGCTGAAGAGGTTCGTAAACATCACTGGTAAGATGTAGCTCTATATTTAGGTCACAAGCTGAGGCTCTAAATTTCTGCCATTCTGTTCTACACTGCATGACATAGTCAGAACTGAACTGAAAGCTATTCAATCAGATGTATCTCACACATTCTGGCTGCCTAGGCTAGTGCCAGAAGACAAAGGGTCTTTTGAGTTAAATGTTCCAAACCAGCTTGCTGAAGAGGTTCGTAAACATCACTGGTAAGATGTAGCTCTATGTTTAGGTCACAAGCTGAGGCTCTAAATTTCTGCCATTCTGTTCGACACTGCATGACATAGTCAGAACTGAACTGAAAGCTGCCAGATAGTAGAATCTTTAAGATATCTTGTGCCTCCTAAGGGGAACAAGTTATCTGCTACTTGTGGTTGGTTGGTTGGTTTTGTTGTTTTACGCCGCACTCAGCAATATTCCAGCTATATGACGGCTGCTACATGTGGAGAAGTCGCCTCAGGTGATGTAAACCCTTTAAAATTATTCTGAACTTTTTTAAGGTAGTTTCCTGTTTAATTCTTTCACGTTGTAAACCAAATAAATATTTTCGTTTTCATTCTTTTTAGGGACCTGGAAAAGCCTGGAGTACTAGCCGGGACTGATTTCATAGAGCTAGCCCACTGAGATACCAGTGAGGGAGTGAGTGAGTTGGGTTTAACGCTGCTTTTAACAGTATTCCAGTTATATCACAGTGTGTCAACTTAATGTAGGAGGAAAGCACAAAGTGATACAGGTCTTAGAAGTTTACCACTTCGGTGAAACCCACGAGCACGGGAATGGTGCTGACAAACCTAGAAACATAATCGGGGTGACTTGGGATTCGAACCCACTATCATAGGTTTCTGGCGTGCTCAAGGGATGCAACTCTGCACAGCAATTCGCGGCACCTTAGACGACTGGGCCACCTGTGCCCCCCTGAGATACCAAGTCACAGTTTCACATGAATACCCTACTCAGAAAAGGTATATTAACTCCAAGCCTAGCAGTCCTTGTTTCTGCCCCTAAATGCCAAGCGCAAGACTTGGTAACAAGGGGTGCCATCTTTTAACTAAAGTCTTTGGATCAAACCCCGGACCTTTTCCACAGATGGAGGCGGTCACTACCTTTCAGGAATTGAGATGAGCAATTAGTGTGAGTCAGGATGAGGTAAAATATAGGAATATTAATTTACACCCATCAGTAAATGCTTGTATATAATCTGGTGGGGCAAACCAGTTGATAACCTGGGAGTTGGGATGAACTCCACATTGACCAGTATTTCAGTTGTTGCAGCTTACTGTAAGGGAAAGCCTGAAGTGATGCAGGTCTTAAACGTTCACCACTTTATTAAAACCCACAAACACGATATGTGCCGTCAAGCTGAGAATCATTAGGGTGAATCTGGGTCTCTGGGAGTCACAATAAGTGGATTGTTATTTCAGTTAGCTCTCACTACAAGCGTGAGTCACAATAAGTGGATTGTTATTTCAGTTAGCTCTCACTACTAGCGTGAGTCACAATAAGTGGATTGTTATTTCAGTTAGCTCTCACTACAAGCGTGAGTCACAATAAGTGGATTGTTATTTCAGTTAGCTCTCACTACAAGCGTGAGTCACAATAAGTGGATTGTTATTTCAGTTAGCTCTCACTACAAGCGTGAGTCACAATAAGTGGATTGTTATTTCAGTTAGCTCTCACTACAAGCGTGAGTCACAATAAGTGGTAGTTATTTCAGTTAGCTCTCACTACAAGCGTGAGTCACAATAAGTGGATTGTTATTTCAGTTAGCTCTCACTACAAGCGTGAGTCACAATAAGTGGATTGTTATTTCAGTTAGCTCTCACTACAAGCGTGAGTCACAATAAGTGGATTGTTATTTCAGTTAGCTCTCACTACAAGCGTGAGTCACAATAAGTGGATTGTTATTTCAGTTAGCTCTCACTACTAGCGTGAGTCACAATAAGTGGATTGTTATTTCAGTTAGCTCTCACTACTAGCGTGAGTCACAATAAGTGGATTGTTATTTCAGTTAGCTCTCACTACAAGCGTGAGTTACAATAAGTGGATTGTTATTTCAGTTAGCTCTCACTACTAGCGTGAGTCACAATAAGTGGATTGTTATTTCAGTTAGCTCTCACTACAAGCGTGAGTTACATACTTGGTGCCTGAACAGTTAGCTCTCACTACAAGCCTGAGTTACATACTTGGTGCCTGAACAAGTCTCTACAGACTGACTCACCTAAAGCAAACAGCCCTCCCCCCTCTGAGTAGGACGAGCCGGGACTGGTGTCCTTGGGTAAATAGGAGGACATCAGTTGTAGAGCTTCCTTTTCATGTCCCTGGGGAAACAGAAAGCATTCTAGAGTCCTAAACTTCATCAATCAACCAAGGACACTTTATGGGAATAGCTGGAAAGGTTAATATGAAGTAGAATCAAGTGACATCAATACTTTACAATGGAATTCTCTTTACATAATTGGCTCAAGACTCCTTAAAGTAAAGAGGAGTGAGTATGGTCTTACGCCGCTTTTAGCAATATTCCAGCAATATTCCAGCAATATTCCAGCAATATCACAGCAGGGGACAGCAGAAATGGGCTTCACACATTGTACCCATGTGGGGAATCGAACCTGGGTCTTCAGCGTGACCAGGGAACGCTTTAACCACTATGCTACAGCACCACCCCAAAGTAAAGAGGGAGACAATGTTCCACAAATAAACTTGGAAACTTGTTGTACAGTTGGCAATGACTTGCTTCTGATACAGGTGAGGTGAAATGGGGTTTAACGTCGCGTCCAAGATTATTGCACTTATATAGCCACGTGCATGCACGTGTGTGTGTGCCGGGGTGCTTGTACTAGTCCGGACTGATGCCGATTTATAGTGCTAGCTCACTGAGATACCATGCCGCAGTTTAACATGAATACCCCACTCAGACACAGTATAGCCGACCAGTCCTTGTTTTAGACCCTTAATGCCGAGCGTCAGACAGGGTCACAACAAGTACCATAAAAGAGGCGTTCCTTCTGATACAGAGCACTTCTATCATGAATTGGTGGTTCCACACAACTGCCCACGCAGCGAATTGCCAACTCATTTAAAAAGAGCCCTACAAGACCAAAAGACTTTCAAGCGATATACTTTGAAATGTTTCAAAATGTTGACCAAGCAGTTTTCCTATTGATAAGTGCAAAAATGTTTGCCAATTCACTAAATAGTCAAGGAGTATCTTAATGGCTCGGTCGTATTAGAAATAGCTCCTGCAGCTTGTCAGGCAGCCACACTCTGCAAGTGGACCTGATATGTCAGCCCAAGTAGGTAGGGAAATCTGCCAGAGGCATCTGTATGGACCAAGTTGAATGGAGTTCTCACTTACCTTGTGAATGACACCTAAACTGGCTGTTGCTGTAAATTTGGCCCAGTTGGTGGCTCGAGAAAGCCAGTCAAGGTTATCTCTGAAAAATAACAGTTTGTTATATCCGTCAATTCGGTATAAGCGTGTTCATTATAAACTCGTTTTATGTATCTTGGAAACATATCTGCTGAGACAACCATGGAATGCTAAAATGAAATGAGGCGCATCAAGGGTTTATCAAGACAGAACCCCCAACCAAAACTACTCCTATATATCAGTAGGAAATTCATTATTTAGTGCTTTTCCTGTTTCTGTCAACTACCACAATCGCACTCACCTGAGAAACTGATCTGATGTTGTGCCGCAGTGCATGAAGGAGTTTGCAATCACAGTTGCAGAATGACACACAGAGTTTCTCACTGCATCCTACAACAAACCATTGTCACATACAGTACTCGGGCATTCTGCTGGTAAGACAGGAAAATATTCTTGAAGTCAGAGAGACATTCTTTATTTCCTCCATATGGTGTAATGATTACAACAGGCATATTACATCTGTACATGATCACAGATGGACAAATACATAACATATTTCATCCATGTTAAAGACAAATAGAATCGCACTGTCATTAGTAGATCATGTAGGTGTAGATTAAGTGACATCTAAGTGCGTTCGTGAATGATGCCAAATTTGTATGATTACCTTCCAAGTACATTCAAGTCCCGTTAATCTGACATGATTGGTTGCATATGATTATGTCGAATTAACGAAATTAAAGTTCGTGATAAAAAATCGGACAACTACACGATAGATAACAATACAAACACTAATTGTTCATTAATTGTTTATTGTTAAGCAAGTCTATCTCTGCAACCGTTGTAATATGCAGCTACCAGCCAACTCGTCTCGCATAAAAACACAGGCTGTGTACTCACGGGCAGATGACCACGGAGTACGCTGATCACTCTGTTAATTAACGAGACTAATTAATGAGTGATTTCGGTAATTCATTGCAAATTAGGTGTGTCGGAATTGGAGTGCGAGACTGTCGGATTGACGGGTCTAATATAGCACCGATTTAATTGGATCCCATCATTTGTGTCGGATAAAGCCAATTGTCAGATGAACGAGTGTCAGATTAACGAGATTTCACTGTATTTGGGTCTGTTCATTGTGTGAAGTCTGTACTAGCTCCAAATAAAAACGAGATGTCTGTGTGTTTTAGCATTTCAAATTTGTCCAACAAGTCCAAGAGGAAAGAGAATTCATACATTTCTATCAATGCATGTCACAATGTAGTATTAGGTGATGGTCATAATTGTAACCAAGTTTGTTACTAACCGAGAGATATGTTACGTTTTGATGACACTCACTACAAAGTCAAAGAGTAGATCCGTATTCCTGATGTTGAAATAGATTTTTCACATATCAACACATTCTTGCATTCTTGGAAAATTAGTAAGGTGTATAGGTTCTCTTGTTTACCTTGGTGTTTTTGAGTATGAGGAGGTCAGACTTGTTGTTCTTGATGAGGAACTGGAGGTGGAGGTAGATGGTGGTTTCTCCTCCCAGGATGGTGTGGATCTTTGTCAGCTTATCCTGCAGCAGCTTGTCACTCTCACTCTGCACAATACAAGTCTTTGTCACTTAACATAGTACTTCCATATCTTTGAATAGAACATCTATATAATTAAACAACACCTCCATGTCACTAAACAACACCTCTGTATCTTTAAATAGTACTTCCATGTCTTTAAACTTGTACATTTTACAATAAATTGTATATAACACTTATCCTATCTCACACTATGCATTTCTCTTTCTTCTTTCGATCCAAAGTGGAAAATGTGCTAAAACAAAGGTTTCCAGCTTCTTAAAAAACAATTCACACGAACACACCTAGCATCACCATGGTCACCTCCCAACAATCTGGGTCATGCATGCTTTTCCTGCCGGTTGACCCACATTCGCTGAACACGTGGTCTCCCCAGCCAACTCACTCTCTTTCTAGAGCTTACTAGGCTTGAGGAATTGTGATACGGGGATGGACAGGTGGGCATATAGCGTGTGAGATAGGCTAAGTATCATAAATATACAACTTTTATAAAATTTACAATTTTTTAAACTTATCCTATGTCACACAATGCATTTATCCCACAGTGGGGCACAACTCCCCAGTCTATAAAGACAACAACTGTAGGATATACACGACGCAGCTGGAGCTAGTAGTGATACAAAACCATATGAAGTGACACTGTCTAGTGTCCTAAGTCAAAGCTTGTGGAGAGGGATGAAACACTCCAGAGTGTTGTGACCCTGGTACGTGAACAGAGGACTACTCATGACGACAGACACAATATGTGTAGCATGTTCGTACGTGAGTGAGCGTAATTGTAAAGTCAAACTAAACAATGTACGACTTATAATCGATTCAGAATGTATCCGGCCAATCGACTCTACAAGACAGGTGTATCACTAACTCCCATGGTCAATAGGACCAACCAACTTGACATCTCTATTAACGCTTCGTCAAAACCTTCAATCACTGCTTCGATGATTGAATCAATAGGTCTAGACAAGCAGAGGAACGATCGACGACATCCATAAAGGATCATCGATCCGCTACCCATCAACACATGCCCAAAGCAGAGGTAACGACAATGAAGATCGAAGTCTCTACCAGATTCTCAGTCTGGGAGAACGCAAAACAATTATAACAAACTCAAACAATCACGCCAAGGTTAATTATATCTAGAGGGAGACGTAAAACAAGGAAACTGGGTCGGGCATACGTCTCACTATCTGCGCACATGTGTCTTGGAGACTTGGTGTGTGAGAACCAAAGGCCCACATTGATGCAGATCTTAGACGTCAGTCACAGAGATGTCTCTGGAGGGATCTGGATGTGAAAATCATTGGGGATGAAATCCCATTGTAGGCACAGAAAAACTTTTCCATGCACTCTGTTGACATCTAAAGCATGAATCTCGCTCACTCAAGCAGCGGTCGCTAGAGCCAGAAGAAAGATAGTATGCGGCGTAATGCGTTCCAACTCCTTCTTGGCAAGAGGTTTGTAATCACCAGAAGTTAGAAGTTTGATGTTTAGATCCCTGGTCGGTGGTCGGAACCGAGATGACTGGTCTACCAACTTGTAAGACTGAATTAATGCTTGCTGTTCAGCAACCATAGAGATCTTTGTGCTGTTGTAGTAGCAACTATGGAATTGATCGCAGACCGCTAATGACCCTTAAGCTTAGTTGACGACTGGAGATGGTGGACCTATTCAGCATTTGTTGTGGAGACCCAGTGGCTGGTGTAAAATAATTGGTCGGAGGTAGAGTTGTCCTCTCCTGGTGAGAGCCAGTGCAGATGTCAAGAGGATTTGTTGCCATTGCCGGAGAGAAAGAGATTCTCTGAGTGCCAATGGAACAAGGTTTTAAATCTTCATCCAACAATCCTGGGGCACGAACATCTTGCCTTGGCATCTGTCAAAGAGGGCCCCGGTAATCTGAGTTTGGATGTTTAGGCGTTGACAATCCAACCGAGTTGATGAAGAAAAGAATGTCGAAAGTGAAGATGTAGGAGAGGAATGCCTGGACCTTAGTTGGCCTGAATTCCAAGACGATGCCTCGAACATGTAGGTAATTGACCATGAGCTTTGTGAGGAGGGTAAATAGCCAGTAAATAGTCGGATGGTGATTAGAAAGAGAATGAGTTGTTTGGGGAGACCACGTGTTCAGCGCGTGTGGGTCAACCGGCAGGAAAAGCATGCATGACCCAGATTGCTGGGAGGTGACCATGGTGATGCTAGGTGTTTTCAGGTGAATTGTTTTATAAGAAGTTGGAAATCCTTGTTCAATCATGTTTCCACTCCGGATCGAAAGGAGAATGAGAAATGCAAAGTATGAGATGGGATAAGTTTAAACATATAACATTTTGTCACTAAATTACACATCCATCTCACTAAACAATGCCTATATGAGATAAAACATCCCTTCCACTTCATCAAACAACAATATGGTATCACTGAACTAAAACACTCTGGACTAAAGACCGATAGTTAAAAATAGCTGTAGCAGTGAGAATGCAAGAAATGAAGTGCTTAATCAGTGACAAATGACTCCAAAAGAAATCACACTTAAAACAAGTACCTGTCATTCTTACACCTTAAGTGATATTAGTGGCCATCGATTTGTAAAGTTACACCTAGGCCACAGTTAACTGCTGCAGGTATTGATGGGTGCGAGGACATACAACCATGATTAACCCTGAGAGTAAGTCTTCCCACTAGTCATACATCAAAATGACATCAACAGCCACCCAATCCCCAACTGAGGCCTTGTGTGAGATGGCGTGAACCCATACTGGGCCCTGGAATCCTGTAGTGATGCAGAACCTACCAAGCTGCTGACATCAGGAACCGATGGAGCTGTCTTTGCTGCTGCTTCATCAGTCTCCATTGAATCTCTGGAAAAACCAGTAACACAGTTTAATATGAAGCTAGTCAAGTGGGAAAGTCACACTTCTTATACATATTCACTTTACTAAACTGATGTAACTTCATTAAAAATATACTTCCCGTCTGTACAAAATGACAGTTGATCAAGAAACTAAACCTTGCATGGATCATTGCTCTTATCACTGGTTTGTCTGGTCCCAAGCTGATGATTCATAGTCCAGGTTATGAGGCTGGAATATTGCTCAGAGTGGCGTTAAAAACAATCCACGCCGCCTACCCTTCTTTTGGCTCCTCCTTGGTTTCCTTGCTTGTCTCCTCCTTCTTCTTGGCATCAGGAGTGACGATGGGGATGGGGGCGGCAGCGCGAAGTGCAGACTGGATCTGCTGGAGGAACTGCTGGGTCGCACTCTCATACAAGTCAAACGCTATCTGATACGACATCAACACTGAGTCCTGCAACACAATACAAGGGGTATTACAGCTTTGTGTTTTACACTGTTGTGAACAAGAACTTCAGTCACACTGTGGCATGCCAAAATAATGTGGAAAACCTGAAGTGTTGGAGGGTCCCAGAGATGTACCAGTTTGGGGAAACCACGAGAAAAGAATGCTGCTGACAAGCCAATAAATCTAACCCATGATCATTGGACCATGCCATGCATAGGGTAAGAATCTCTGTAGACTCAGAAGAGTGTCCCCAAAGGGTAGAATGACAGCAGAGAAAACATTAATACTGATATTGAGTGAATAATAAAATCATAGCACTGTCAGTAATATCCCCAGCTAATAACAGCAGGAGACACTGAGAACGTCTCAAAAGGCAACAGTTTCACCACTCTGATACCTCATTGCCCTGTGCAGCAAATCATTTTTCTTTACTTGTGTTGATGACCTTTGTAGATGGCAACTGATTTGTATTGTGATTACCCAGATTTAAAATTAAGATTGATACTTCCCCCATCCCACCATGGACCATGCATTTGAAGGTTTCCCTTAAGTATTATTATCAAACTTTCAAGCTAAAACAAAGTTCTGCTGTTTCAAGAGTAATATCATTTCTCTTTTGTTTCTTATCCAACCAATAACAGCCCAACCATCCCTTACCTCGTCTCCTCTGATAAGTTTCTCCAAAATGTCTGCTACCGACTGTGGATCGTCCAGGAAGATGTAGCACTGAAACACAGATGAAGGACATAGTACCATGAACAACACCAGCCAACTTCCATGTGATCACAACTCTATGACATATAACACATAGCATAGTAAAAGCTTACATACGATGGAACCTTGCAGTAGATGGTGGTTTCTGTCAATAGAGTTGAATACAGATATCTTGCCACACTAATCTGAAGCAGTGTTCAGACTAGAAAGGTTTGGACTAACAAGATCAGCAGAGTCTACACACTAACCATGTGCTCACAGGGTGTGGACATGATGGACTGTCAATGTAGGCAAGGATTTACAGACTAGAAAGGTTTGGACTAACAAGATCAGCAGAGTCTACACACTAACCATGTGCTAACAGGGTGTGGACATGATGGACTGTCAATGTAGGCAAGGATTTACAGACTAGAAAGGTTTGGACTAACAAGATCAGCAGAGTCTACACACTAACCATGTGCTCACAGGGTGTGGACATGATGGACTGTCAATGTAGGCAAGAATTTACAGACTAGAAAGGTTTGGACTAACAAGATCAGCAGAGTCTACACACTAACCATGTGCTCACAGGGTGTGGACATAATGGACTGTCAATGTAGGCAAGAATTTACAGACTAGAAAGGTTTGGACTAACAAGATCAGCAGAGTCTACACACTAACCATGTGCTCACAGGGTGTGGACATAATGGACTGTCAATGTAGGCAAGGATTTACAGACTAGAAAGGTTTGGTCTAACAAGATCAGCAGAGTCTACACACTAACCATGTGCTAACAGGGTGTGGACATGATGGACTGTCAATGTAGGCAAGGATTTACAGACTAGAAAGGTTTGGACTAACAAGATCAGCAGAGTCTACACACTAACCATGTGCTAACAGGGTGTGGACATGATGGACTGTCAATGTAGGCAAGAATTTACAGACTAGAAAGGTTTGGACTAACAAGATCAGCAGAGTCTACACACTAACCATGTGCTCACAGGGTGTGGACATGATGGACTGTCAATGTAGGCAAGAATTTACAGACTAGAAAGGTTTGGACTAACAAGATCAGCAGAGTCTACACACTAACCATGTGCTAACAGGGTGTGGACATGATGGACTGTCAATGTAGGCAAGAATTTACAGACTAGAAAGGTTTGGACTAACAGGTAAGCAGAGTCTACACACTAACCATGTGCTCACAGGGTGTGGACATGATGGAATGTCAATGTAGGCAAGAATTTACAAACTAGAAAGGTTTGGACTAACAAGATCAGCAGAGTCTACACACTAACCATGTGCTCACAGGGTGTGGACATAATGGACTGTCAATGTAGGCAAGGATTTACAGACTAGAAAGGTTTGGTCTAACAAGATCAGCAGAGTCTACACACTAACCATGTGCTAACAGGGTGTGGACATGATGGACTGTCAATGTAGGCAAGGATTTACAGACTAGAAAGGTTTGGACTAACAAGATCAGCAGAGTCTACACACTAACCATGTGCTAACAGGGTGTGGACATGATGGACTGTCAATGTAGTCAAGAATTTACAGACTAGAAAGGTTTGGACTAACAAGATCAGCAGAGTCTACACACTAACCATGTGCTCACAGGGTGTGGACATAATGGACTGTCAATGTAGGCAAGAATTTACAGACTAGAAAGGTTTGGACTAACAAGATCAGCAGAGTCTACACACTAACCATGTGCTCACAGGGTGTGGACATAATGGACTGTCAATGTAGGCAAGGATTTACAGACTAGAAAGGTTTGGTCTAACAAGATCAGCAGAGTCTACACACTAACCATGTGCTCACAGGGTGTGGACATGATGGACTGTCAATGTAGGCAAGGATTTACAGACTAGAAAGGTTTGGACTAACAAGATCAGCAGAGTCTACACACTAACCATGTGCTAACAGGGTGTGGACATGATGGACTGTCAATGTAGGCAAGAATTTACAGACTAGAAAGGTTTGGACTAACAAGATCAGCAGAGTCTACACACTAACCATGTGCTAACAGGGTGTGGACATGATGGACTGTCAATGTAGGCAAGGATTTACAGACTAGAAAGGTTTGGACTAACAAGATCAGCAGAGTCTACACACTAACCATGTGCTAACAGGGTGTGGACATGATGGACTGTCAATGTAGGCAAGAATTTACAGACTAGAAAGGTTTGGACTAACAAGATCAGCAGAGTCTACACACTAACCATGTGCTCACAGGGTGTGGACATGATGGACTGTCAATGTAGGCAAGAATTTACAGACTAGAAAGGTTTGGACTAACAAGATCAGCAGAGTCTACACACTAACCATGTGCTAACAGGGTGTGGACATGATGGACTGTCAATGTAGGCAAGGATTTACAGACTAGAAAGGTTTGGACTAACAAGATCAGCTATGTAGACAGACCAACCAGGTGCATACAGGGTTTGGATTGACATGGTAACATGATTCTGGCAAACAATTTTCAAAACTGAAATAACGACATTTTACAGACATTAGACCTTTGTGGTCTTCGTAGCTGAAACGTTAACGTTAGTTGTATAACTCTGCAGGCAAATACAGTAATTCTATAAAAGCCTACAGCCAAGCAGTAGATGCTCATCAGCTCTCTGTGTTATTTACCTGACAAACATTGATGTAGTCAGCCGTCTCCAAGCTCATATACAGCTTTGTGAGGACCTTCAGGATGGTGCAGCGGAACTGTCTGTTCTGGATGAGGGCCATGCACACTTTGAATGCATATGACAGCATGAATGGGATATCATCCTGCAACAGAACATGCTGATGGAGAACACATTCACACAGCTGACCGTCCACACCACAAAACAGTATCAACATGGCTGGCAGAAACTTTTAAAAAATTTTTTAGAACACTTCAAAATCTAGCATATCCTAAGAGCAACTGATTTTTGCGAGTATTACCAGACAGTCCACATCTGAATGATATGCTACGAGACATTGATACTAATGCCTTGGCTTACACACAAAGTTTGGAATATGTGCAGTGGCTTCAAAGCAAAGCATGCTTGTCACTCAGACAGCTGCAAAAGTGAATCCTTCAATCCCAGAATGGCTGATCTGTCAAAATATTCTGTTGTTCGTTTGTATGTTTGTCAACGCTGCAATATTCCAGCTACATGATGGTGGCCTGGAAATAATCAAGTCTGGATAAAAAACTCCAGTGATTGATATTCTGAGCAAAGATCCATGTCACCAAGATACAATGGCCATAATGACAGCCCAGTCATTGAGGCTGACCTCCCGATCCATTCGGTCGCCTGTTACGACCAGCATAGGCCGCTGGGGACCGGTTCTAAGCCAGAATCCACACAGCGTGATCTGTTAAAAAAACATGCCAACATTTCAAGGGCTGCAAAAAAGCTCTGTATAATCCAGAATTGAATGTGGAATGGCTATACTTACAGACTTCAAAATTGACTGTTCAAATATATCAATTCTTCTTGTCTCCAAAGAAATGCCAAGGGCCTGTAGGACAAAAATCAAATATAAACTATATCAATGCTTGTTACAAAGGGACCAAATATGTGCAGAAAAGAAGAAGCTCCTTTAAGGTTACTGAAGTCTGCCAGTAAAATGTCAAACAATAGCAATGATAATGCCTAACATAATCATAATGTGTGCTGTTTAAAAGGTTTCAAGAACACTGTTGATGTTGTCTGTTGTTTAACGCCGCACTCAGCAATATTCCAGCTATGTGATGGCGGTCTGTAAATAATCGAGTCTGGACCAGACAATCCAGTGATTGACATCATAAGCATCGATCCACGCAATTGGGACACAATGACATGTATCAAACAAGTCAGAAAGCCTGACCACCCGATCCCATTAGTCGCCTCTTACAACAAGCATAGTCGCCTTTTACAGCAAGCATGGGTTGCTGAAGACCTATTCTACCCCGGATCTTCACGGGTTACAGAAAGGGTTCACATCATGGGTTGTGCACCTGTTTAAACTGCTTATCATCAAAGCATCTCTGGAACATCCTGTTGACGACAGCCTCCAGCCTTGGGTCAATGGGCTTCTTGTCCTCTTCCGCACATTCAGCATTCTCGACACACTGCTTGGTGTAATGATCGATGCACTTGGCTGCAAGGCAGAATTGATCTCATTAGTGAGTGGAGTTTTGTTCTATTCCTGGCAATAATGCAACCATATCAAAACAGGGTATGCCACAAAAGCTTCATATGTGCACCTGATGGAACTAAGACCCAGGTCTTCAGTGTGACACATGACACTTTAACAACCAGGTTACCTCACTGTCACTGATAACAGGAACTCTCAATGTATGGAATCAAAGCTATTTCATTCATAAATGAAACATTAACAAATCAAAAGCAACTTCAGATAAAATGGGGAAGTCACTTATAACTACAATATCACACACTGAGGGTATACAGTTCATGACATAAATCACTTAAAATCAAAACCTACCAATTGTTGTTTCCACAAATTCTGATGTGTCATTAACATTGAACAGATCCCCTGCACCCAAGGCATAGGTCAAGGATTCTTCAAACGCTCCAAGATGGTAATAAACCTGGAAAATAAAGAATCAGTGAAGGCAGGTGGGCAGGCAAGCCAGCAAGATGGGGTATACCCAGGGGACAGTGATGATGCTTTGATAGTCTTGGTTGGGTTGTTTGTTTGTTGTTTAACACACTCAGCCATACGCCAGCTATATGACATCCGACAGTGGTCGGTAAAAAATCAAGTCTTACTGAAGACCATTCCAAGCCCTGATCTTCGATAGTCTTTTGGAGATAATCTGGTACTAAGTGCATTTTACAAAATCAAAAAAAGGCACTCAGATTTATTCAGTTTGAAATAGTTAGCCATACATTAAATATCATACTGCAGCAGTTAACATCCATGGCCCCGTTCCACAAAGCGATCTTAGGGCTAAGGTGATTGTAACTCCCATTCTTTAACACTGACTTACGACAGTCGTACAGCTAAGATTGCTTTGTGGAACGGGGCCCAGTAGCCACCATGATCAAAAAGACAACAAACCTTTGATGCCACAAGAGCAGCCATTTCTCGATTCTTGAAGCTTGCATCTTCATAGAGAACCTCTCTGTAACACAACATGAAGACTTCCTGTTAGAAACACACCGGCTCTATCACCACACAGGGAGGGTCACAATAACATGCAGCCGACAGATGTACTGACAATAACACCAGGTCTCCATTCATTATTTACAGTGTTTAGAAGTCACATAATGGCCCTTCAACCAACCCCACAGACTGCGAACTGGGGCAAAAGTATACAGCATTTACACCTTATTTTACTGAAGCTGTATGCAGCTGCCAATAGACACACTTCACTACTGCTGCATGTTCTATACATTAGTGAAACCCTTATAAATCATCAAACCTTTCAGTCAACTCACTGTGTTCAAGTATATTAACAAATTGACATGATCAAGTTAGAACATGATCTAAGCTTGTGCTGCATCTTTCTGTTTGCCCTGGGACACGAAGACTTACATTTTGTCAACAGATTCAGATATCTCAGCCCAGAAGACGTCAACAATCTTGTTTAGTTTATCCAAAGCAAACACCTGAAATTGAAAATAAAATATGGAATTTGAAATGAATGAGCCATGGGTGCAGTAAATGAGGTTTAACAACAGTATCTGGGTTATACTGCCATGATTCCAGACACCGATGTGGAAGAAAGGCCCAAGTCCTGCTGGTCTCAGACATTTGGCAAGAAGAGGTTGGACTTGGTGGTGAAGGCCCAAAGACAATAACCATGATTATGTTACAGATATGGAATGTGAAACTCTATATATGATGTTTGAAACTCTACATGTCCAAGGGACGATGCATACCGTATTCGACGTAATAAGCGCCCACAGCGATATTTGCTAATATATTGGCTAGTCAACAATCCCAATTAGCATCCTTTCCGATTGATCAATGTACACAAGACATATTTATTCACGTATAATATGCACTTGTGTGTTATATGCAGCCTTAATGATGGGCAATTAATTTCTTGAACAATATATCTATCGTGTATAATATGCACAGATTCTACTTTCATAGCATTTCAAGCTGTCAGCATAAACCACAAAATTTACAATCTTTCAACTGTTTTTTTTTCTCTTACCAAAATTAGATTCAAATAAGAGCCCCCTATTTCTAATTTTGAGAGCGCCCTGGCACATATCTGCTTATTACATCAAACACGGTAACTATAAACAGTATGCAAATATATCAAGACAAAATCAATGCATAAGTTAACAAGATTTGACACTGTTGACACCCTGGACAAGTGAACTACATCATAATGACAAGCAACATGTTCTTGCCTGACACAGCCAGCCTTAATGCATCTATAGCTTGGTGACCTGTATACTAGGGCTGGGACAAGTCCAAATTTACTACCCGGGTACTCAACCCCCTATTACCCGACCCTACCCGGGTACCCACTGTAGGTCACAAGAGTTGGGAGCACAAAGTCTAATTGGGAATAGTTTAACTGTAGCCCTGGCAAAAACTGTTTAGATACATGTATAAAACCAGAGACCATATAATAGATACATGGTCTCTTATGAAACGATCAAATCATGCATGCACTGAAGTTGACTGAAGCTTTATCTTTACTCAAACATATACAAGTCAAAAGGAATGTGTGCATCATCATAAAGAAATGGGAACATTAGCGACTTGTAGTGTAACCACTGAGCTCTTGTGAGTTTTTGTCATTAAACAATATGTCACGTGAATAACCACGGGTCCGGGTAGCTATGTGGGTACCCGGGTCCTTCTCAGGACCCACCTGACCCGAGTACCCGAGTTACCCGTCCCAGCCCTACTGTATACAATGGTAAATCATCTCGTCGGGGACAAACCAGTGACTAACAGTAACACAAAAAGAATGATATTGGTAATCCATTGGGGTATGGTGACAATATTCAGACACCTCACTGTCAGTCAATGTCAGCACTCAACATCACGTCCACCTGATCCCATTTCTGTCAGCTGTGGTGCTGGGGACCTGTACACTACACCACCCTGAACCCCCACAGGGGATCATCAAATCAGTTAGGAACACTATAAGCAAAATCCAGCTCATCCCCAATATTATTTTCAAGCAAGTTGTTCCATGACATTGCTACATTCAGGTCCAGTGAGTGTATCACATTGTGTTGGGTAGATAAGGGGGGGTAGCCTGAAGTAAAGCACGTCTCAGACGTTTATCATTTTGATGAAACACATGAGAATGGGTTTGGTGCTGACAATGCTAGAACATAATCAGAGCGTACTTGGGATTTGAACCCACAATCATAGGTTTCTGGCACCCTGAAGGAAAACTGCATGGCAAATAAGCGCAGCTAAAATTTAAGGTAACTCCTTTCAACAGGTCGCACATGAACAAGTTTCCACTTGTCTCCACCCAGTATATGATAAATTGCTGAACATTGTAGCCCCCGATGTCCTGACCTTAAAACTCAGTGAGTGAATCAATGTTGTAACTATGCCACAGCAGCTTGTAGTGAGTGAGTGAGTGAGTTGGGCTTAACACCGCTTTTAACATTATTCCAGTTATATCACGGCATGTCAGCTTCATGTGAGAGGAAAGCCCGAAGTGATGCAGGTCTCAGATGTTTACCACTTCAGTGAAACCCACAAGCACGGGTATAGTGCTGACAAACCTAGAAACATAATCGGGGCAAACCAGGATTCAAACCCACAATCATAGGTTACTGGCGTGCCCAAGGGACGCAACTCTGCACAGCGAATCGTGGCGCCTTAGACGACTGGGCCACTCGTGCCCCCCACAGCAGCTTGTAAATACTTGACTCTGGACCAGGGCAAACCAGAGTCTAAGTAAAAGCTTCAGCAACAGTTCTTGGGGTGCAGTAACATGCAATCAGCCAAGTCTCTTCAATCATAGACGATGATTCAAAATGTATGCGTAAAAAAATATGAATAATTATTAGTGTAAATGAATCAAAGTACAGAGTATTATTTTTCCGACTGGATGTTATGCATGTAGACTCTACGTTTCTGGCACCCTGAAGGAAAACTGCATGGTAAATAAGCCCAGCTAAGCTAAGACTCTATATATGGAGACAAACTGTTGTTATATTCGTGTTTCTTTTTTCAGGTCTATCACGGTTACTCAAGTACGGATTAAATACCGGAAGCCATTGTTTCTGTTACTGTTATTGCATTACACGCGGACGGTTTGGAGTTCAAAGACATTTCACGTGTGATCTTACAACAATCTGAGATGAGTATTAAATAACATGCACCTGGATAAAATGTATCATGAATGTTATTGTTTACAAACACACACACATGTACTGCAACAGGAAAATAAATCCCATCAGTATATTGGTCACTTTATTTGCATTAAAGCGCTTTTTAGGGAAATTCTTCATGAATTTTTATGTAGCCAAAGTTTACCCTGCACTGAATCCGGGCTAGTGGTACATCAAGGATCGTAATGTCTAGGAAACACTGTATATTATTCCTGGTAAATATTAGTTTCAGATACAATTCTTCCAATCATTGATTCAAAAATATTTTATTAACCGAATCTCTGGTAGATGTCAAGAAAACGTGTGTACAGCTGATTGCTGTTTCCGGTTTACTTTACAAGTAAATACACACGGTAATCTTATCAACTGCATGTATAACAGTGCCTAGCAGAACAGGAATAACAATTTAAATGGTAAATCAACATGTCTAGTGATTTTTTATGTCAAATGTCAAATTTCAAATTTGTACTAAGTTTGTTATCACCAATTATGCCAATTGGTTTACCTGATTAGCTAAAGGGGTATGATGTAATTGTTTCTGTAATTGTAACACTCGAAAGCATTTTTCAAAAATACTGAATCCCCAAGATAGGGGTGTGCATTATACTTGGGTGCGCATTATACTCAAGAAAATATGGTAAACATCATGTTTCATAAACAAACAGCTGTGAATAATTGACATTATTATTTCTTACCTTGAGCTGTGGTTCCTGTTCATCAAGCAGAGACAGGACTCCACCTGTAAAATAATAACAACATCATCAAAATATATGAAAAATCTATCTCTCTCCTTTTGCAGTGAGTATAGTTTTACACCGCATTTAGCAATATTTCAGCAATATCATGGCTGGAAGAACAGAAATGGGCCTCACACATTGTACCCATGTGAGGAATCAAACCCAGGTCTTTTAATAGCATGACAATGGAAACAGTTTAAGCACAAGGCAACAGTTGCTAGAGGACATATGTTGGGATGAAGGCACTGTGAAACAAGCATGAAAAAATATTGAAAAGATCATAACGATAATGATAAGTGCAATTAAATGTTATGAGTTAGTGAGTGTGGTTTTATAGCAATATTCCAGCAATATCATGATGGGGAACACCAGCAATGGGTTTAATACATTGTACCAATGTGGGGAATCAAACCTGGGTCTTCAGTGTGATGGGTGAACACTTGAACCACTAGGCTACCCCTATTTATATATATAAATTGTAACAGAATAAAACAACTAAATCAGTATACCTTATCTGAAATCAAGCACGAAAGTTGAGGGAGTCTTATCATAATCTTAATGTTAAAACTTGAACGAAGGGGTTCCACAGTCCCTAGATTCCCATCTATTCAACCCTCTGTGAAAACACAGGAATTAGCATTAAATTCTGTTATACTCCAACACCTCAAAAATCACCTGTGAATAATGGAAGAAGGTTTGCCAACAATTCAACGCAATCACTTTCACTTATCACCTAATTAGCAGAGATTAGCATCAGTGTAGGCTGGGTTTGCAAACAAGAAACCTGTGAACTTGACTTAATTTGAGTTGATGTAAGATATCCACAATAAATAAGGGCTATTATCTTTTGAAACAAACAGTGGTAGACATTAATAACATATAAAACAGAAAATGGCCATCACAAAATTATCCTTGTTGCATACAAGACATCATTTGTTTCTTTGGACAACAATGAACCCCTACAATGATGACTCCAAGACATGGGAGGATAGGACAACCCTTTATTAATGTAGCCCCACATTTCACTTGGTTGGTTTCCCATTCACAGATATCTCTGGTGTGATTGGTCCTTGGGGTTTGTTGCTGAAGGATTGGAATATAGGGACCACCTAATGTTTGGGTTTTTTTCACATTAGGGTTAAGACAAAAGGCCCTTTTACTTTCATTCTGTAATTGTTATCATGATTATACACATATATCTTCATACAGATGAATCTGTGTATATATTGTATTGATTGTCCTCTGTTTTACTAGGCTAGTCTACCCTATCATTAGAACATGAAAATGAGAGGCAACGTATAAATATAAATAATTATTTATATAATGATCAGTACCTACACTCAATATGCCAAAACAGTAATAGACTTGTCTGTATTATATACCTGTATACAATCTTCTTAATTTACAATTGGCTATGAGTAGTTTCTTTCATAACCTTATCAAAATGTTCACCAGTATTAGTGATCCCCAAATCTCTTGTTTTCATTCAATTAACAGCATGATCCTTCGTCTTTGTCTGTACATAGGCTACAAGATTATAATAATAAAACAATGAAATATTCAAGTAATAAATTTTATATCATGGAAGAGTGAAAACACCAATTTCCATTACAAGACCCATCTTCCAAACATTAGCGCCAAATTAAATTGATTTGAACCGCTACGTGATGGCACACCACATATGTATTAACTCGATTTAACTCTTTAAACCCAACATGAAAAAAAGCAAAGGTGTGTCATTTTGGGGTCATTTTATATACCAGATTCAGTGTGGTAATTAAACTACTTATAAGTAACATAAAGTAACGTTTTCTCATTTATATTGCGTGTACACAATCAACTTTATAACTTGTGACTAAGCGAAATTGAAACGTCGAGTGCGTACTAACAACGTTTTCTCTGATATACTGTTACCAGAGACGGTGGGTGTTAATTTATCACGATTGGGGATATTGCCATGTGAAGAGAATCTACCTGCTGAAGTGATATTCATCTTCATCTCGTCAGTTTTCAATAAATAACCATGAAACGCTTTCACAAGTCACTGTTGTTATTCCCGGCGTGAGTAAAGCGGAAGTTCATAATATACTAGCATCCAAACAACTAATATGAGGACGGTTCGTTTAATTTTAATAGTGGTAATGTTTCATAGCATTCATTTTTAGAATATGATGAAACTATTTATTCTGATATGTACAGAATAATAGAAAGATATTGTTCAATAAAATTACCATTGTCTCCATAATTAGTTGGAATATCTGAACATATTAATTATTAGTCGTCTTCAAAGAACTTTATTCCGAAATACCGCCTTTTCCGAGATTACTGTTTCCAACATTTTTGCTGGCATTTCAAAATAAAAATATACATCACATGTGGTGTGTCATTGTAAATCAGATTTAAAACAGGGACCCATATAAATAAAGATGTATTGATTCTGTCGACGGATATTTGTTAAAGTACGCTTTGGTACAAAATATCCCCGGAACAAAAAACGAAACTAGGATTAGTAACAAATCCGAAAATGTGATTATCATCTCTCATATTTCAATATGTGGTCTCAGTCATCTCTTATAATTCCTTTTTTTAACCCAAAGTATTTTAATGACATAATGAGATTAATTTCTTATGTAATATTCTGATAAATGGAATAGGTACAAACTTAAAAAGCAAACACTTTTATAAAAGGGAGCGTTTTGATCAATAAATGACCATAAACCTGTTATCTTTAATATTTCAATAAATTTCAATAAATTTTACTAAACAGGTTATCTATAATATTTCTGCTTTGGTCACGAATGTCTCAAGCTTGAGTGATGAAAGTATCAAGCTTGACTTTCACAACGAGTATGGCCAATTGCATGCTCAGCGGGTCCCAAGTTTGGCCTTGATTGGACCATAGACCATATACCGGTATACGCATTCGTCACCACTCGCCTCTTCCCGTAACCTGCAATTCGCTATTCGGCTTGTCCCGGAATAACAAGATTGGTCACGAATGCGGTACATGGTCTCTGATTGGACTCACTGTTGTTTCCGCATTGTCTTCCGTGGCTTGTCGGTCACATGACCCCGAAACTACCCGCGTTAGCTGCCAAAAGTAGACATCCACAGCCCCAGATATTTGTATTTTTTTAGAAGCACAAAAGTGATTACTTAAAACGCTTAATGATTGTTTGTACTGGTGTTTAATTGGGATGACCCCATGTGCTCTCTAGTCAGAGACCATATGGTCTCTGCTCTACTGTCTAAGATTGTGCTTCAAATTCTGCATTGCACACAGGTTATGGTGGAATGAATGGTTATCTTCATTACTCACTAAAATATACAGCAGTTTGAAGGGAAAGACATGTTGAGATGCGACTTTCTGATTTATCCTACAACGCACCAACAAATACATGGAAAATCCATATCAGCCCTGCGGGGATGTAATAGGGGTCCTCACTCACTGGTTATTACACCCCTGTGATATGACCGTCTCTGTGATGGCACTATATGCTCATATCATCATCATCTTCCCGACGCAAGAGAGTTAACTGACTCTAAAACTCTAGTTTCCACCCTTGCCGAACTAGGCTGGAATTTCTGGGCTCGATTGTGGCTATTATGAGTGGCTATTATGAGTTATGTCCCTCCTATTGACCAATCAGATTCCACCTCTCATATCACTTGCATTGTTATTAAAATTATCTTACTTCGCGAATTGCATCAAAGTACGTGATCACCTTGATTTAAAACATGAACACATTTGGAAAATATCTGTTGACACCGAGCTGGCTGTAGACATGCTTGCAAATCCCGCAATCGACCGAAATCTGCACGGTAGTATACGAACCGGATTTCGATTTCGTTACGCGATTTTGATTGGACTGTGCATAGACTCGTTAGTCCAGCCAAAATATAACTCCATAATTCCAGCCTAGTTCGGCAAGGGCGAAAACTGGACTTTTAAAGCCAGTTAACTCGCTTGTCTCGAGAAGATGCATACTGTTGACAGGTATATGATAAACCAGTATATCTATCGAAATGTGAACGGTATAGTCATTGTGTATACAAGTATATCTATCGAGATGTGAATGGTATAGTCATTGTGTATACTAGTATATCTATCGAGATGTGTATCGTTTCGTCATTGTGTATACTAGTATATCTATCGAGATGTGTATCGTTTCGTCATTGTGTATACTAGTATATCTATCGAGATGTGTATCGTTTCGTCATTGTGTATACTAGTATATCTATCGAGATAGTATCACGGCAAAATAGGAATCGCTCTTTCTACTCCTATACAAGCATGTACTAGTACCCAAAGTTTGTTTTAGACTTGTATTTGTATTTATTTTATTTCAATTTAGTTATTCAGGACTTTTAGGCGGAATTACAGTTAAGCATACATTTCTTTCTAGGATTTTAAACATCTTTAGTCATGTTAAGAATTTAAATACCTTTAAACTTATTTAGAATTTAAACTTGTTTAAATAAAGAACATATCAAATATGGATAAGATGTATAATATACCAGTATATTGAAATTATATGTGAAAATCAGTTTCACAGGCACCTGCACTACACATGTACTAACAGGACTTACTACAAACCTGGTACAATATTTACATAAACATGTACAAATACACCAAGCAAAATACATATATTTTGATAGGTCTGACAAACATTTAGTATTTGTAGTAGACATGATACAAACCTTTCTAGACAGGAATTGTTGTGATAAATCGGAGGTAAATAGCGGCGTCTAAGTTCCAGTGTACACAAGAAGGAAGTTGTATTCATTTTTAACATAATTAAACCCACAACGTTCATAAGAAGTACATAGTCTGTTTTCAACATCTACCCCAGTTTTTCCCCCTTTTTCTATTTCCAGATTTGTATATCTGATGACTGCTTTATGGATAAATACCCCCACCCCACTATGTTTGCCCTCATCTCTTAAAAAAAGAGGAACAATGGCAAGGATGGCAAGGCCGTAGTTAACTTCTTTTGAAAGGGGGGACCAATTTTTGTACAACTATCACTTGCCCCTAACTTGTATTTTCATGATTCAAATAAAATTGTTTTCTATAAAAAATCCGGGGGTGGGGGGGAGTGGAGAGGGGGGCACTCCGGGCTGGCTACGGCTCTGAATGGGACGGTGAAAAGTCCAAGTAGTTATGATACAAGTACAACCATGTCTCCAACAGGCCAACACAAGTGTAGGAGGAGAGTACAAGTCTCAAGTGTTGGTAGTTGAAATGTCTATGTGATGACAGACAGTTCCAGGAAAATAGTGAGATGTGTATGTATTTGGCAATTACAGGTCTGTTTTTACCACTTTGAGGTTTTCCCAATCGTTGAGCCCTCTGAAATGTATTGGGGTCCACTTTATTCTCGGTATCATTGTGTTTATCTGCTAGCGCCGCGACATCCTCCTTTGTAACATACTGTTCTTGGGTAACAGTAGTAATATCCCTCCGAATACTGCGCACAGCATCTTTAAGTTCACATAAGTCTCTTACTGCACCCTTGATTTCCCGAGCCGTCTGGTAGCCTTGTGGTTAAAGTGTTCGCTCGTAACGCCGAAGACCCGGGTTCGATTCCCGACATGGGTACAATATGGAACCCATTTCTGGTGTGCCCCGCCGTGATATTGCTGGAATATTGCTAAAAGCGGCGTAAAACAATACTCACTCATTTGATGTCCCTAAAAATATCGCTAAGAGATGGTTGGTCGTTTGGTTGGTCCAGCGTGCTTTTTATGTCGACACTACAAGGAGTAAACGCACCGAGTAAAACACAAAATGAGAGCGTGGCTATATGGAGCACTCTTATTGAACGTCACTTGAATGTTGTTTTGAACAATAGCATGTCTCTATATGAGTTGTTGTTGTTGTTGCTATAAGTGTCTTAGAGGTCGTCTTCTGCCTTAGCTGGCAACACTGTTCGTATTTATACTGTTCATGAAATCCAATTTCAATTCGTGAAATAACAAACGGTTGTCGAACCAAAGTGTCCCTGTTGTACCGCTGGCAGATCGTGTGTTTACAATATCAAACGGGGCCAGCTTTTCAGGATATAGATTCCGATCGCAAAAGTTTGTTAAAAACCACATTGCAGACGTTTTCGTGAAAAAAAGTACTTATACATACTATGTGTACTTGTTACACATGTGCAAAATTACTTACGTCAGTAAATGTTGTGCACATGAAGTGGTATTAATAATCTATGACCTCTACACAAAATGACTTTGAATAAGTCCAGGGATGTTGAGAGTTTTCAATATTTTTTAGTAAAACCAGTTCCCGCGGAACATAATCACGCGCCCTGGTATTTAACACGGTATAAACCAGGTTATTGTTATTCAGGCATACCAATGAAAACCAACAGAGGAACCAAATTGTGGAATATGTACATACTTTATATAGAAAACAGCCATATATATATGGAAGATACAATGGGCTTGGGCTGTTTATAATATTGTAATCATTCCCCGTTCAGATACCAGTTGCATCCCGGTTTGGTTATAGCATGGGGTATATACAAAGATAGAGACTATTTGGGACAAGTCAAGCCAATCCAACAATCCGGAGATAATCGGTGACGACCTGGCAAGATGTGGTCTGGATTTGCAGTTCAAAATGTCTGCCGATAATTCTAGAGAATGGAACGACAAGATATCGCTGGCCAGTCAAATGTTTATTCACCATAACAAAATCGGTTCGTCTGTCATGGAGGGGCCGCGATTCACTGTGCAGAGTTGCGTCCCTTGAGCACGCCAGAAACCTATGATTGTGGGTTCGAATCCCGGTTCGCCCCGATTATGTTTCAAGGTTTGTCAGCACCATACCTGTGGGTATTCCCCTTTCCTTTCCAGTTATTGGTTGGAATTCTCTATTGATAACTGGAGCAGATGTCAATACATTCCGTTTTGATTGATGTAATAAGACGATTGTCCAGGTTAGGTCTGCCACGCCCATCTCATTGCAGCCCAACCCGTTTTAAGTTACTTGTCCCACAGTCGAGAAATTACACTTTTGATTTGCCATTCGGGCAACTTGAGATATTGACGTCCCCCTTCTGTTGTACCCACAA